TAAACTATTGGTTTTTTTATTTAATCCTTTAATTTATGTATTTTTAAATTACTTTTTATAAAATATCTGAATACAATATTAATGTACAATATAATTTTAAGAGTGCGGCAAGATTTAAATATTTGATTTTTTAATTTACATATTGATTATTCAGAAAACGTGAGATGCGGTCTGGTGTGATTTATGTTTCAGAAAAACATTTTCTTTATCGTGCCAACGTATCGTTCTTGAGTGCCCACACGGGGCACTCTCAACACGTCACGCAAGAATGGCACACTTACGCAGAAAACAAACACTTTGAGCCCCGAAGATGATCTGAATAAAGATCGAAACGTTGGCACGATAATGAAAATGTTTTTCTAAAACAAACCTACGTCACACCAGACCGCATCTCACGATTTCTGAATAATTATCGACAAACGGTCACTAATCAACACACAAATTTATATATTCTTTAATTAGATTTTTAATTTTTTTAAAATATCAGAATGAAATAAGAACATGTTTATTGTGTAAGGATTTTTCATTATTTTTTGGGACATATCTGTTATGTCCGCTTACTCACGTCCGTTTAAACAACGTGCTAAAAACAGATAAATCTGTTACTGCTAAAACTATAAGAATAGTTGTACAACCAAAAACTGCCTGTCAAAATTTTATTTTCGTTTCCTCGCATGTAACAATTTAATTTATTACCTAGTCCTGCCATAAGTTCTGTTACAAGAAAAAGGGCCATTAGGGAATAGAGAAACTTGATAATTTGAAAAGAAATTTATTTTAAAAAATCCAATATTTTTAAGATTGAAATAAAATAATATTACTCGAAATGACCACCTTTTGCCTTCACCCAAGCTTTTAGTCTTCGGGGCCAATCATCTATGGCAGTACGCAACACGTCTTGAGGAAATTTCTCAACTGCTATAAGCAGAACGGACTTGAGGCTCTCTAAATTGGCGTGTTTCCTGTAGCAAGCCATAGCTCAAGATGGGACCACACCTTGTAGTCCAGAGGATTCAAATCCCCACTTGGTGTGGTGGGGAGTTTGCTACGATGGCACCACAAAACTCCATTTTTGTGAGCAAGGAGTCAAAACAAGGGCGAAAAATTACCAAGAAGACATCCTTGAGAAAGTAGTAAAGCCCTTAAGTACTACTCTTTTTTCCGGAACTCATTGGGTCTTCCAACAGGACTCAGCTCCTGCGCACAAGGCCCGAACAACTCAGCAGTGGCTGGGGGGGAATGTTCCGGAATTCATTAAGGCTTCAGATTGGCCCTCGGGAAGCCCAGATTTGAATCCTCTGGACTACAAGGTGTGGTCCCATCTTGAGCTTATGGCTTGCCACAGGAAACACGCCAATTTAGAGAGCCTCAAGTCCGCTCTGCTAAAAGCAGTTGAGAAATTTCCTCAAGACGTGTTGCGTACTGCCATAGATGATTGGCCCCGAAGACTAAAAGCTTGTGTGAAGGCAAAAGGTGGTCATTTCGAGTAATATTATTTTATTTCAATCTTAAAAATATTGGATTTTTAAAATAAATTTCTTTTTCAAATTATCAAGTTTCTCTATTCCCTAATGGCCCTTTTTCTTGTAACAGAACTTATGGCAGGACTAGGTATAGTTATTAAGTATAGTTTTATATTTTTATTATTATATTATATATTATATTTTTTTTAAATGTCAATGTAAGGTTTTCTGGCTCCGCTAGCTTATTAAAAGCAGAAGGTAGTCCTTTCTGAAAAGAAAGCCGCATGGGACTTGGACAAATGCATAGTATGTACTGCATTTGTAATGTTTGAAACAAATCGGGTCACAGGAAGCAAGATCAGGCAATGACTGATTGGGTCTGGAGTAGACTAAAACAAGCATTGGAGTTGGCCAGTGTGGGTTTTGTCTTTTTGAACCTATGCTAAAATCTTCAGCCCGGTTTGCTTTGTTTGACTAATTCCGTTTCGGGCCTAAGCGTTACGAGTTCTCGGGGCGCCATAAGAAGACTTCCTTTTGACGGAAACAGCATACAATTGGGAATACTGCTCAGCTCCATTGTACGGCGAAAATGCACTATTTTTCCTCTATTGTAAATTAACAAAACACCTTGTGGAAATACGTGATCTCAACCAAAACTGACAAACAAACGCACCATGACTAATTCCTTTCACAGTGTGTTAATAATAATGGCAAACACTGCTTAAAAAACAAGGCAAACTCGAATTGTTGACAATCGCTATGTGCGTTTTTACAAGCCATATTTTAGTAATCAAGAAACTAACCTGGAATCTTCTACGTATCTAAATTTAAAACCGTCTTGTGCATCGAAATCGAGTAATATCTAATAGAAAATATCTACAGAATCTTAAAATTTACTGTTGTTTGTACACTACTAGCAATCAAATCTGGATATATCCGAATGCTGCGAATCACAGAATCACTTCCGATGTTGCTAATCACGTCTCATACCGAAATTAAAAAAAAAAAAAAAAAAAAAAAAAAACGATCTCAGACTCTGCCACATATCTCATAGGTGCAACCGGTACTAGATATCCAGACGGATCCTACAACCCTTCACCACTCCGTACAAACTTGGGACTTGTCTTTTAAGTCCGTCTACATTCATTCCCTTGATTACATACCTTATAATCGAACAACAAATTACCTTCCTTTCACGCTGATAAATTACTTTCACTCCCAAGGCATCATACACTAAACCAAGATGTCCTCTAGGCGATACGTCACAAGAATAGTTGACAGGTACTTTAATATATAAGTGTGAAGTTTATGGGCCGCCAAACAGCTGAGGTCATCGCCGGCCCTCTGCGTACTTTCCATCTTTTTCTTTTCTTTCGCAGCCATTTGAGCGTCTCGATCTGGTTACTGACTCTCTGATTTCAGATACTTACTACGTTGATATTCTACTTGATAGATTTCTAGGATTTGTTTCTTTTCTGTGTATATTGATACTGAATGTATTTATTAGAGTGAATGTGTTGTGTGAGAGGGCCGCTGGAAACATTTAGTACACTATGGACCCAAACATTAGATGAAATATATATACATAATGTGAATGAATGGGGGGTGGAGGAATATCGAGTGAAAACCACCATTATAATTGAATAAATACGTACGTACATAGGAAAAAATTTATTTAAGAGTAGTGAATTTAGGTTTAAAAATTGCGTACCCCCGGAAGCTTAACTTCACAAAACATCGACTTTTATTTAAAATCAATATGCAAATTTAAAGTTTAAAATAATCAAAATAAGCACGTACTACTGTATTACTATCACATATGAAAATTTATAGTACCAGATAAACCACTTATAACTACAATAGTATTAACTCTCGTCAGCTCTGCACGTTGAATTTTCTAATCTTATAGATTTGTCACGCATCTGTCGATAACAGATAATGGATTATATCAATTTTCATAGCTGCATGTGAAGTCGTCGTGCACAATTTCATAACACGTTGCAATGCCCTTGAATAGCTCGAATAGCATTTAGATTATATTAACGATGATACACCCAGATCTTAACATTACTTATAATAAACACAATTAAATTGTAAGAAAACAGTAAAATTGGAAGAATAAATGTACAATAGAACAGATGTAGTTGTGTATTTATACATATTTTATTTTTCAGAAGTGATGCAAAAAAAAAATGTAATTGATTTTGAAATATAAATTACAAGGACATATTAAACAGAAAATAAGGAATATAAAAATAAACAAATACCATATGTATTACAAAGTGAAAGATTGTAATCCATAAATTTGTTCTTCATGATTTATCTTCTTTGATTAATTCTGGATGCTACATAAATTGGCCACAAACGAAAAATAGTTTTTTTTATTGTTTCCGGTTCTCGCCTGGCACAGCTAAACTATTGCTATTTCATCATTCAGTACATCAGACCTTTATTATCGAATTTTAATTGCATAAGAATGATCTGTTTGGATGAAATTTGAGCTTATATTAACTAATCGATTCATTTCATGGGAAATACATTTCGATCCAAGATGATCCAGTGAATTTTTCGTTGATCACCATAGCGTTCTACAATGATAGAATATGATTTTCTATCTATTAATAATAATAGAAATATTATTTTTGATTGTTGATTTAATAGTTAAATGTTTCTTTGATTCAGCCCTATTCAGGTCTATTTGCATTTGACAAAACCAATTATGATGGCTTTTGCTTTTCATTAATTTATCCAGTTTTAGAAAATTTGCCATCAACAATCAAACAAGGTTTCTAGGAAGCTCTGATTATAACAGGAAGCCGCCACCTCAATCTTCTCCATTAATTAGATTAATTTCCTCCCTATTTCTTGTCTCCTAAATGATTAGAGGTGTTCATATTCAACTATAAAAGTTTTTAATGAGTTATTCAGAAATCGTGCGATGCGGTCTGGTGTGATGTAGGTTTCAGAAAAACACTTTCTTTATCGTGCCAACGTTTCAATTTTTATTGAGCCTTGAAAATGATCTCAATAAAGATCGAAACGTTGGCACGATATAGAAAATGTTTTTCTGAAACCTACATCACACCAGACCGCATCTCAGGATTTCTGAATAATTATCGATTAACGGTCACTAATCACCACACGTTTTTAATAAAACTAGATGGGACTATGTTCTATAACATAATGTAAAGACCTAAGAGAAGTTTCAAAATATCTTATTTTTACTGCAGTTTACACTTTTTTTAAGCTGTGAGAACAAATTCTAACGATTCTGTTTATAATTTTGTATCGATCATTGGTCTATTTTTTATCGTCGGCGAGGCGTTTGATGTAGTGTATAATGATTTATTACAAACGCTAAGTGCTGAAAATGCAAGAATCAGTCCTAAACTATGTACCGGTGTTGATTAAAAAAAAAGAAAAAAAACGCTACTGAACACAATATCATTTCCACGTCGCAAGTAAACACAAATCTGAAAGGAGGTGCTATGTCGATAGTTGAGTCATCCGGACCTTGACAGCACAGAAGCAGCCGCAACGCGGAAAGCATTTATTCAGTCTATATCCATTCCGGACAGAGTGCACATAAACGAAATACAAGTGGATTAAACAAACATAAGGTAAAAAATTGCCTCGATTAAAATTCGCTAAAGGAAAAATTTCGTTACAATTCATTTGGTATAATCTTATATTTATATATAAATAATTATATATAAATAAATATAATTTATATTATACTTAGTTAAGTCAATTAGTTCTCAAATTTCAATAATTGTAAAAAATTGATGTAAATTTATATATTTTCTGTATAACGTATGCTATATTACAAAAGAATTTATTTATTTTTGCAATATTATTCAATCTAAGAGAAAAAACAAATTCTTGATAACTGCGGTGTTTTGAAATTGTGACTTTTCCAACCATTTGACTCTTCCTGGTTTACTGGTGTGCCATACGAGTTTCGCTATTTTTTGCAATTTTTTTCTGCGTTGTGTGAGTAAAAATTCATTAGGATTTTTTAAACAAACTGCTGAGAATTCTTTGCATGATAACAAATTTAGCTTTCTGGCCGACGAATCGACTGTATCAGGTTCGCACATATTCTTGATTAAGGCAGTATTACAAAAAGTGGTTCCTTGTCCATGGTGGTCCAAGCTGCACCCAGGACGATGGTAAACCTGCAGATATTCTCAGATTTGCTACAGGCCGTTTGCGTTGGTATATAACTTTTGGTTGTTTTTGTGACTTTTTTTTTGTTTGTTTCTCTCATTCAGCCAAGATTTGCTAAGAAATGTTATGACGTAGGTGTTTAGTTCTGTAACCGCTACTGCTGCCAATTCTGTACATCGCGGGGATTATTTTCTTCCTGCAAAATTTCTTCATTTCTTACAATCCTAGTGTGTATTTGAACTTATTCAGTGCTTATTTCCATCCGCCTTCCCACATTGGTTTTATAATTCATTTGGTTTCTGAAATCATTGAGCTTCTTTCTTTGCCATTGCATCAGATATTTTACCGTACGACTTTATTACCGTGCTTTTAATGTTTCCTGCTCTATCCTGCATTGCGGACGATTCGTTAGGATTGCAAGTTAATAAGCCTGATTGTTGGCACAGGTTCAGTTTTATTTTCTGTTGCATAATGTAGTCCTTACTTTGTCAGTACAATTGAAAATTAAGATCGGTTGGTTTTCAGTTATTTTATGTTCTTTGAACAGAGTGGAGCTATTTATTTAGGGGTTGTATGGAAACGACTGTAAGTTTAGGGAGGGCATCGGGAATTTCTATTTATGTCTTAAAATAAATGCTTATTTTAATAGCTTTCTGCGCTATTCTCACAAAGACGCATGAGGTTTCGTATGAAATTGTTCTGACTCTATTTTTTTAATGCAGAATTCTATTTTTCTCTGGACAGAAGAGAATTTTTGACATTCAGGGTGTTATCCAGGCGCCTGATTAACCCGGGCGAAAATGTCAAAACTGGTATTAGAATAGTGTGTGTGTGTGTGTGTGTGTGTGTGTGTGTGTGTGTGTGTGTGTGTGTGTGTGTGTGTGTGTGTGTGTGTGTGTGTGTGTGCACGCGCGGGCGTGCGTGCGTTTAAAATGTCGTTATAGTTCTCTAAGGCCTGGATGAAGGGAAAAAACTGCACTTTTGCACTTTCCAACTTATGTCAAGGATTTTAAAAATTTCTGTTGTAAAAATATTTTGAAGCTTTTTCCTTTTTTGTATAAGACAAATTCATCTTTCACAAAGCATAAGGCATAATAATTTCTTCTGGATATTTTAAGCAAATCCATTTAACTGTTAATAAAGAAAAATAAGTTATGTAGTTTGTGTTTTAGATCTGGTTATTATCAACTGTCTTGCCAAGAAGAGATAATGTGACTTGTACATCAAATTTCAGGGGAAATGATAACGGAGTGATAAGACCCTCGACCGTACCGAAGTGAGCAACGTTACGTTTTGATGATGGGAGACAGTTTTTGGTTGGAAGAGGCACTTCAATTGGACTGGTATAAAACCAGGATAAAGCGTATGTTAAAAGTCGAAACTATCGCACTTTCCGAAAATGAGAGAGGGTTTCTATCTCAAACCACAAAATATAAAGTGCACGTGTTGTTACAAAATAGGCGGAAAAAGCTCATACAAGTCATTGTGAAAGTGACTTCCGATATGGAAAATATTAAAACTTTCACACAGGAATTAGACGCTTTTCGGCAAGAAATTAAGGTCTCTTCATTTTAGTTTTGTTTTTCAATTAAATAAATCGTTAAGGAATTTATAGATGTACACATTGCTGTTGCCAGAGATGGAAGTTTTGATGGAAGAGTTTGAAGACACCCGGGAAAGGCTATGGACCGACATGATAACCTACCAACCTTACAACTTGATCGTTTTCAAAGATTTGACGGTAACAAAAATGAAATTTTTATTGTGGCAGCAATTACATTGTGTTTTTTAGGCCGAGAGATTTAAAGTGGAGGACAGGAGAAAATGCCTGGGCCTGGAACATAGTCTCTTGGTTATGGAAGGAGTTGCGAGGTTTCACGCGATGTCGAGGATCCTTTTGGACAGGGGATTATTCCCAGCAACCGATCTGAAAAAGTACATCTCCCTCAGGCCCAGGAAGGATCTGTTTAACTACATATGGGCCAATCCATTAAAGCACGTTGCCAAAGAAATCAAACAATGGGGTAACGAATGGTACACAATATTTTTTCCCATGTACGATTTATTATATCGATAGATTTTTTTATTATACTTGTAAGTTACCTCTGCTCGATATATTATAGTATTGTGCATTTTGAGTATGCACGCCGTGTACAGTTTAAACAATTAAGTTAAGGCACAAGGTCGATCAGAGTTAATTATCATCGCGTCTATGTTAATACCGTATGTGGATATTCGATGTGCCAGACCCTAAATGTTTATGTTCGGTTGTTATTACTATAATGTTGTAACACATGAAATATACGTCAGTAAGAAGTAAATTTAAAACAGTGACAAATACATAAAACAAAAATTTCGTCAAAACCTCAAAAATTGTACTGCTGGGGACATTTAGTATTTTCAACAGAAACACTTAACAAAAATTATTATTTGGTGACCGTGAGGTGCGCGAGAAATCCATAATTTTCGCGAGAAAATCAGACCTCGTTGAGAAAATATCCACCTTAACTCTCCTTACATTAAGTGAAAAATACTGGGAAAAAAGTCAATGCCTTTGTTAGGCAAGTGAAGGTGGAGAAAAACAGTATTCTGCCTGTATTTCAAGCGGAATACAGCACAAATTTTAAAAGTCCCGATGTTAAATTTTGCAACAAATATAGCCAACACCCAGCTAGCATTGCAAACCAACTGTGTTAGTCCGAATTAAAGGCCAGTTTTCCAAACGGACACTACATATTCACGGATGCTTCGGTAACAACTCAGGGAGTTGGTTGTGCTTTCTACGACCCCATAGCAAATCTGAAACCAATGTTTCGACTGCCAGAAAATCTTTCAATGAACTCTGCACAATTGGTCGCAATATTAAAGGCACTTGAATATGCGAAACAAAAAGAAATTAGGCACACGGTGGTTTGCTCAGATAGTAAAAGAGTAGTGGGAAAACTAAAAGGGAATGAGAAGGGTTTTGTCAACGGGCATTTAGTAATGAGAATTCTCCAGTGTACCCAGGAAATACAATCGGATGGGCTGGAAGTTTCAATAGCGTGGATACAAGCGCAAATGTGGATAAAAAGTAATAAAATAGCCTACAAATTAGCCAAAAAAGCAACGTAGTCTGGACTCACATTGGCCATACCAGTCCAAAAAAAGACGTAAAATGATTCCTACATTTGACTCTTCTCATGGACTGGCAACTGGCGTATCCGCAGGAGCAGGCCAATTTTTTCAGAGAATGTTCCGCTTGGTTGGACGAGAGCCGGGTTGAAATCGCTACGACAGGGCGCAGACCACGACCATAAATAGAATACTGACGAATCATGGGCTATGTGTCAACCATCTCAATAAGATAGGAAAAAAGGAGACACCTCAATGCCAAGTGTGTGGATCCGTGGAAGATCTTCCGCACATCATAATGAGATGCAAAAGATTCAAAGAAGATATAAAGTACGAAATTCTGCTTTCCTCGTACACCAAAACAACATACAATAAACTGTATAAATTCTTGTGCAGTGCAAAAATAAAAATGTAACAAGAGAAAATAAATGTTGTACATAAAGTTAGCCATGTAATAATTGTTTAGTTCAAAAATGGTTGTATACATTAATTATACCAAATAAAATATAGAAAAAATTCTAGCTTTGTATAAATTCATTTTTTTATTTAAAATTTTGTAGCATAGTATAATTTTTTTTCTATATGTGTTTGTAAAATTTAAACAATGTTGATAAATCCCAGGCCTTGAAGTGATCTCAATAAAATTCGAAACATTGGCATGTTAAGAAAATGTTTTTCTAAAACCTACGTCATACCACACCGCACCTCACGATCTCGAAATAATCATTGGCTAACGGTCACTAAACTTCACAAACTTAACAAAAAGTTGTAACAGTTCTTATTATACGATATCTGCTAGGAAACAAATTTGACAAAACGCGTACGTTTCCATACTACACTAATGGCCAAATTTAACGGATCACTCAATTTATTTTGTTTAAAGTAAATCCATTATCTTTCCAAATTAGTTACAGGTAATTAGGAGGTATCGTAATCAAAATAAACAATAAATTGTTTTCTTCCATTATATTTGTACTGATTAATCTTATTTTCACAAAAAGCAGCCTTGTGCCCTTCCATTCTGCTACGCCTAAGGCTTTCAGTTAATCTTTTTCCTTTGTTGATTTAATTGATATTACTCATATTCTTAAACATTTTGTAATGGCTCCAGTCAGGCATTTGAGTGAGTATGAGAGGGTAAGAGTCATATAATTATTAAAGGAAGAATATACCCTGCTTGAAGTCGCAAGGAGGCTGAGTGTAAAACACTGCAATTGGTAGGGTTCTTCGGCGCTTCAGATGAACAGGGTCTTCACACTAGAAGGCAAGGACAGGGTCGACCTCATTCCTTGTCGAACTTGTTACAGGCGAAGATAATGTGTTACAAATTTTGAGCTGTCATCCTCGATGATATAAACCTTTTTAGGTGTGCTTTATTTTTTCTGTGACGACAGAAAATCTGTGTGGCTTTATATGAGTGTTTGATCCGTAGACGGTGTAATGTTGGGTAAAATATTTTGATGTGACTTCTGTTGTCAGTGTTCTGACAAATTTATTCCATTCTTGTTGGCGTTTCTCTCTGGTTGTTTCTAAGTTCATGCGATATCGGGGCCAGGTGAATGTTTCAGTTAAGTCCTCGCTTCTCGCTGTTTTTTTTGCCTTTCGATCCGCTTCTTCATTCTCCTATATAGGATGTGCCTTTTCAAACTTTTCTATCCAGGTCGATTGACATTTCCAATATACAGGTGTAAAGACAAGCGAGACGAAAGATTCACCCCTCATCAGGCTGTACGAAACCAGCCCAACCAGGCATTATGAAAAATGACATAAGAAATCTGATAAATGTTTCGATTTCCTCCAGGCCTGTAAAAAGAAGGATCGACGAAACTAGCCTTAGTGCCCGGTACCCGGCTTGTAGCTCGGGCGTCGGACATTGGAAGATTGGGGACAAGTTCTCTTTACAGATGAGGTGAGCGTTGGACCCAAATCTTTAGATGGCCGAAATCTCGTATGGAGACACTCAGGAGAAAGGTACGCCCCATGCTGAAAGGCTCCTCAGGTGGCAGTTCACGGTAGGTCATTGATGTTCTGGAGTGGCATTTCCTTGGATGCCCGTACCGAATTGGTTGTTGTGAGAGGAAGATCTCCAACTTCACACACATGATCGAAGAGCATACAGTGCCATTTTCCACCCACATCGGTGAGAGATTTTTGCTAATGCAGTTTAATGACAAGCACCATGGGACACATATTGTGGATGACTAACTGAATGAGGGTAGATTTGAGTGCTTTATTTAGCCAGCTCGCCGGATTTGAACCCAATTAAACAAATTTGGGATCAACTTAACCGATGAGTACGACGGCGAAACTGAGGTCCTAACACCCTAGCCAAGTTGGAAACGGTTATTCTTGATGAATGGAAAAGAGTTCTTCAGGATTTTATGAGAACTCTTTTCCAAGGAATGCAGTTTGTAAAACACATTTTCCAAGGATTCAAGAAATAAAGTCAAAACAGGGAATTTTTTTTATTGCATTTTATTTAATTGTAATTTAAACACACCACTTTTCAAAAACATAAAATGTAATAAAATATGTATCATATAACTAATATAATTTCAGAAAAGAATCAAATCAGAAACATCATATACGAATTTGTTGCTTTTTCGATGAGATAACAAACGTAAAAATCCAATTTTTCTTCTTGAACTCTGGAGGTTTGATCTGTCTATCCTTTCTGTCTCAGTATGGCAGACGGTTTTCATCTTTTAGTCATTTTCAAAAATGTTGTAGTCTGACTTTCGAAAACAGCTAAAAAATGTATTTAACACGCAGGTATATTATAGATTAGACTATTAATTTTTTGCGTTAAAATTTTGATTATGAAAATCTTTTTTTATACAACCCCACTGGAACATGCAATATATAAAAATATCAATAATTCCTGCTTTCAGTTTAATCCTATTGTTGCTTTTTGTTCGAAATTTTTGTAAACCAACTAGCCTGAATTCTAAAAATTTACCGATTCTGACTGCAGAATGAAAAATTTGAATGATACAGAAACGAGAAGTCAAATAAATTGGGATTTAATCCTGCTACCTTCGGATTTGCTTCGCAATATTTTGAGGTATATTTGGTCAAAATAATTCGTATTTGGGGATTCCAGGTCATTCCCTTGTGTTGATACATCTCGATGAGGCTGTCGATAGAAAGGGGCTTGACGTTATAATAGAATAGGTTTAGAAGTTTTATTTGGGGACTTAGTGGTGTCAGGTTTGACTTTTGAAGTCCAATGAAATATAGGTTTGGAACAGGATGCTTATGGCCTGGACTTTTTTTGGACAAGTGCTGAACAAGTTGGAACGTGTATTTGCAACTCCGTTCTAATTATACCTCAATGTTTTGTCTAACATTACTTCATAGCCTAAAATCTCCTGAGAATTCCATGCTGAGTCGAAAAATAAAACTTTTTAGGTCTAACTACAAGGCGCACGCATGGAATTAGGCCACCAGACTTAGCATTCATCCCTCTTCCATTTCTAAGAAAATTTTAATTGAGTGAGCAATTAAGTAGGTTGCTATCTTTCTCAACATAATAACAAAAACGGGCATTTCATGTCTGTTCTGGCTTGAGTGGACTGTATTTTTCGATGTTCTCGGGAGCGATTTCAATAATAATTATCAAATATATATAAATTATATTGGCAAGAAGAGTTTCCCACTCACCTCAGGTTGAAGCTTCCTTCGCTGAACGAGGTAAGGGGGGAAACAGGAGGGTAAGACGATCTGGTTAGGCAAAGGAATATCGACAACCCTTACCTGGGCTTCTAGGTGTTACCTCAACCTTGGCCACAACGATTGGCTGGTCCCAGAAAGAGAAATCCTGTCGGTTAAACAGCTAAAAAAATTATAAATCGCGTGTGAATCGAGACGAATCAGACTGGGCACTAACGAAGACTCTTAAGTGGGGGAAAACAATCGGCCCTACGTAGGGCCTCCTCTCACTTGTTCGCACTCTCTCACTCGAAATATACATTCTCATTACCAAAGTAAAGTATTTCCCTAAATAGGCGCGAACAATGTCGGACAACCCAATGAAAAATTAAGGATAAATTTTAATGGACGCCAAAACAATTTCCGTTTTAAAGATGAGATGATGGATCGACCAGCTGTCGAACAACTTAGAAAAAGGATATTCGGTGAGGCTCAACAGAACGACAATTCTTTTGCCGGGTTTTCGACGATTATATCGTCATCATCAGTGCCTATTCATCATAGGAAAATATAGCAGTGAAAACATATTGTATAATTTAAAAACAAAATTAAAAATAATTATATTTTGTGTGTGGTGATTAGTGACCATGACATGTGACACATGTGACATAGTATATTGTGTGGTAGTAGATGATTATTCAGAAATCGTGAGATGCGGTCTGGTGTGATGTAGGTTTCAGAAAAAGATTTCCTTTATCGTGCCAACGTTTCGATCTTTATTGAGATCATCTTCAGGGCCTGGGACTTACAAACATTGTTTAAATTTAACAAAAATATGTAGGATGTGGAAAAAAGTGAATTTATACAATGCACAAAAAAATATTTTTTTTTAAATATTTTTTATATTCAATAAAAGTATTTTTACTCACTCGAAGTGTTTGTTTTCTGCGTAATGTGCCATTCTTGCGTGTCGTGTTGAGAGTGCCAGTGAGATATTGCCTTTTTATGTTTATATACATTGGATTTTTAAGGAGTGGGGAAGGAAGTCGGTATAGAAAGACATTTTTGTATAAGGACAACAATCATATTTTTCTTACTTTAACTCGATGAGTGTTGAAATATGTTGAAAGATATTTTTTTCTCAAGACATATTTTCATCACTCATCGAGTTAAAGTATGGTATGGTATGGTATGGTCGAAGGGATGCCGGGAAGCGGGGCTTGTGTTCCCCAGGCACTGCAGCCTTCTGGCTTATTGTACCTTCCCAGTTCCCTAGTTTAGTCAATAGACTCAATCCTTCTTCTCAGAAGTATCAGGTCATTGACTGTTCTTGCTGCAATTTGGTTCCATGAGTCTTTTTCGTATGTTAGGTTAAACCTCCATTGAGCTGTTGCTTCGCATTCGAAGATGATATGAGTGGCTGTTTCCTCCTCCTCATTACATANATTAGAGGCTATTGGAGGCGCATAGTACCCGTTCGTACCCCGAGTTAAAGTAAGAAAAATATAATTGTTTTTAATTATTTTTTTAAATTATACAAAATGTTCTAACTGCTATATTTTTCTACAATAAATAGACCCTGATAATGACGAGATCCTTTTTCCAAGTAATTTCCGTTTTGTTATGCAGTCAAATTAATAAAATTTTACTAAATCAGCATTGGAATTTTTAAAAAAAGGTAACATACGCACTTCTTTAGGGTTGATGTAGGTACACGGCTGTTTCAATATGTAGATGGATTGTATGAAAAATTGAACGATGCTTATGAGGTCGACGAACGAAGGTTCAATGTCATCAACCACGGAGATCTCTGGACGTGCAACTTGATGTTCAAATACGGCTCTGGTTCGAACATTGACAGACCCATCGCTATCAGGTAGAAACTCTTTTGACAACATACTTTTCCTCTTTTAAACTCTTTTACGAATCTTCAGGTTCATCGACTTTCAGATGAGCTTCTACAATACGGCAGCGTGGGATCTGACTTACTTCATCTGTACGAGCCTGGTACCGTCGTATAGACGGAAATATGAACGGATCCTGCTCGTGAGATACGTGGACTGCTTCAACTACAATCTCGACCTGTACAAGTACGAAGGAGCACGGCTGAAACTGGAGTCGCTCGAATCGGAAATGAAAAGACTGGAGCTGCTCCGAGTTTTATTACTTTCATTGACTTACCCTATCATGACAACTGGTAATCATTATTAGCTGAATGAAAGTAGATTTTAATATTATAATTAGTTCGCTTAAAGTATGCAACGAGTGAGTCCAGTTTATATAAGAACTTTTGCATTATGTATTATTATTTGTTTCTTCGTTTTCTTTAAATTGGCGTAACAAGTGTTCCTTGATAAAATAGAATTTATCATTTTCAACAAAAGTTCAATTGAGTCCATTGAGTTACCTTGTCATTGGCCATTTTCCAACCAGTTGCTCCATCAGTCACTGGTAGGTACATAGTGGTAGGTCGTGACTATTATCACTCGCTCAGGAAGCGAGTGCCTGGATGTTATATTGTTGAAGCCGAAGTCCTTTACTGTTAAAGCTGGCTAAACGCTGTGATAATTTCGCTTACATTCTTTCTAACTTTTCGATACCATGCAGAACATCTAACGAAGCGTGTAGTTTCAAATGAACTGAACTTCTTACAACCACAGGTAGATCAAATTTTGACATTCACATTCATAATTTCAAACACTTTCCTGTATCGTTCAGAGTTAACTATCGAGTCCATAATTAATCAAAATTTTTGCTGAACCGGCACTACTGGGTCTGTCTTCACTGGCGGATTTTTTGTTTGAGTTATTCAAACGCGTTTCGGCATTACGCCATCTTCAGTGAAAAACTGTCTGTCATTTAGTCTGAGTAGGGTTTATATAGTATTGCGTCCGTCGCTTGTCGCTGGGGAGACCACGGAGACCACGCCCCCTAAAGCAACGCCCCCAGCGGACGCAATACTATATAAACCCTACTCTGACTAAATGAACACAGTTTTTCACTGAAGATGGCGTAATGCCGAAACGGGTTTGAATAACTCAAACAAAAAAGCCGCCAGTGAAGACAGACCCAGTAGTGCCCGTGTGCCGGTTCAACATGAGTTCGCCAACTCGCAGACCAAACCCCATCATCTACTATAATCAAAATTTTGCGATTAAAATTTGGCCAATTCTCATATCAAATGGGCTTTTCTTAGATTTTTGCATGTCACTACCATTTCAGAAGGATGAGTATATCTTTCATCTATCCAATGTCAACTAGATGGCGACTCTTTTGGTACTCTAAAGCTAAAGAGCAGTTCGCGCGCAATTGCGACTGGATTTTATTCAAAACTTAAACACATTCAACATTTGTGAGTCTTTGTGTTAGTTTCCAAGGACTAAAGACTCCACCGTTGAATTGTTCGAACCAGATCCGTGTAAAATGCTGTCAAAGGTACCCGTCCTCTCCGGTTTTGTTATTTCAAGAGCTATTTTAAGAGAGCTTAGTGTATTATAGTCAATAAGCTTTGTGACGTTTTTAATTCAGAAATACAGCACATTATAAGCAAATGTTGGGATCTGTTATGTACTGTGCAAGAGTGCTTTTATTCATAACCTCTTTTAACGTAAAATTACTTACCATCTGTTGCGTAAAATCGAAGTGTTGAAAACAATTGGAAAAGGTGATGACATTGAGGATTATAAAGTTAAGATTAAGGTTAGAAGTAGTCTTGTATACCGCAACAAACAATATTCTGCTGTGCATTTAACCTTAAGGTTTCAAAGCGTTTTGCGATATTCTTTTGATGATTTCTTTTATATGCTTCTGTCCTGGAATACAATCCCATTGAGCATACAGTCATCTGTGTACCAGATATTGTCTGCATTTCCTGGGTTCCCCTTTTCCCAGTCTGCCCTACTAAGTATGCTTATATGAAATTTCTTGAAAATGAAAATGAAATCTGAATTTTGAGGTCACAGGATCCAAAATCATTTTCAAAACCTTGTCTGCGCTTTTGTCCCTTTTTATGCTGGTAAGCTATTAGAGCCTGTCCTAAGATTAGCCTCTGAAATGTGTCTATATGTACTCTCTGGACTAGAAAGACTAAGAATGTTTTTGTTCAAAGTTGATGATTAGATATTTTACTTTATAAAAGGGACTCTGCTCCTGTTAGCCTTGTGAGAGACCCCTCCTAGTTTTAAGGAATCTACGATTGTTTTATCGAGGTTTATTCCCCCCTTCTTTTTTGCACAATCGTTTTGGTAAATGGTGAGCATATTGCACCTCGCCTGTGATGAACATTGCGCCATTTGACGACGGTTTGCAAATCCCTAGCAATTCAAGCCTTTGGCAGAAAAAAGTTTGAGGATACCTTCAATCAACTGACCACACTAACAGGGCGCCACTTTGGAGTAAGCCTCCGGTGGTATTAGAATAGTAGCAAGCAAGATTTTTTTATTCCGCTAGCACTGCACATTTTTAGCTCTTACCTTCCCTATTTTTACCTCATTTCAATTAAATCGATACGTCTGTTAAGAAGTACAACGTTATTTGTGTATTCATGTCTGAAGTATTGTAGTCAAATCGTCGTTCATTGTTGTTGTCTAAGGATTGTTATTGGCTGTTATTTCTGATATTTTCCTTCGGGTTTTGATGACATACGTTATATTTAAATTGGATTACAGCATCGCATTTGAAGCTTATATAGATGACTGTTTCTCCCTTCAAATTCCATAACCTATAAATGGGGGCATTGAACATTCCCAGGTTGTGTATGTTTAGATGCCATTGTCTATTCCTAAGTTTTACATAAATAGCAGTAGCTTTGTGTATGGTAGATTTCACTAGGGTCCTTTAACCAAACGTTTCAAATAACTGGAACCACTGGATTTATCCATTTCTACTTTTTCTTTGTTGGACCGATTTTGAGATAGTGGATTTTGTTATGCCTTGCAGATCTTCGTTTCGCCATTATGTCTGATTGTTCATAACCCGAAATTTCGTTGTATCCTGGCAACTAAGTTATCGTTATGTCGTTCTTATTTGGAAGTTTTGAATACTTCAGTTCATATAATAAGAAAACACGAAACGAGTTAAACTCAGAAACTAAGTATCAAAAAAATTCATTACATATTTCAAAATACAAAAACTATAGAAACATGCTTAAACACATTCCGAAAGATCCTGAATTATAGAAGTAATACACAATCAACAACACTTGAACTGGGCCTAAGAAAAAAGAAAAAATATGAAACTAGACTAAAAGATATTGAACATGTACTTTTTGTTTTTTCATAGCGTCATTGGTTCAAGAGAAATTCAGCCGAGCCATCTAAAAAGGACACCCTGTACATATGCATTCATCAAATTACATAATGTACTCAAAAATTGCAGATTGTAATAAAATATTGGGAATACATCAATGTTTAAGCGAGGTTGCAATTATGAAGGAAGAGAACATTTAGTTACGGTGAAGCATGGAAATTGGTGTTTATGCGATGCAGTTACACCATTTTAAATTTGCCCCGGACTTATTGTAGAACTGTAAACAAGTGGTTCCAAGTGGGGAAAAAAGGGGTTGTACGGAAATATTTACGTAGTACCGATTTCACATAGGAAGTTAATAATTGTACTGGCTTCATTAACCTGGTGTTGTGATATTTTTTCAGATTTAAAAGCATTTGATTGGAATGTCGCCTTCGAAGGAGGATGCGGCATCAATTTGGCGCTATACCAAGGAGAAAGAGGTGCGCAATTGAGAAAATCGATTGGACCCGATCTAAAACGGTATCTTAAGAGTAGGCTTGGTTGATTGTAACAACGAAATAAATGTACCTGTAAATCATTATGTATTCGAACCCGTCACTAACCCCAACCCTAACCTTACCAACCTAACCTAAACCGTCCCTAACTCCGCTCCTAACTTAACGCACCGTGACCCTAACACCGGCATTTTTTTCAAAAAGTAACTTTTATTTTCATTAAATTCAATCGAGAGGCAAGCGAAAAATTCCGCCCACTTGTAATACAACTTGATTTGTATATATTAATCAAGGTTTCACGTTTTTTAACGTTTAATAATTGAGTCCTTGTCTAAAAAAGTAAATTGCTAAGGAAAATGAAAAAAAAATTTTTAAAAAGACAGACAGATAAAATTTGTTTTAGATTTTTAATTACCATTTCAATATCGCGTATTTCCTCCTCTTGCCTTAATTAGATCTTGAAGACGATCGGCATACTTTCTACCAGTCTGGAAATATTTGCTGGAGGTTAGCCCATTCTTCACAATGAGTCCCTTCAAGATCATGGAGTGTATTAGGAAGTTATGGACGTACTCTTAATTGTCTTTGAAAGTTATCCCATAAATGTCCGATGGGGTTTGAGTTTGGAGAACGGGCTGGCCAGGCAAAGACCCTGATGTTATGACCTGTTGAAGGTACGTTTGTAATATTAGAGCGATTTGTGCATTATCGTGCATTGGAATAGGATTATCTCTGATTTCATCAAGGATGGCCAACGCAAGATATTCCAAACTTTCATCCACCTAGCGAGTAGGCCCTCCACGAACAACAGCCAACTCTGTGCGATTCTCCATCAAAATTCGCGCCCACACCATCACTGAGAAAAGGTTGGCTCTGGGAAAAATTATAGGCTTCGTATCTTTCGTTTCGCCTTCTCCACACTCTTTCACGCCCATCTAGATCTAAAATCTAAACTCATATGTAAAATGTACAGCAGATCAATCGTCCAAAGACCAATGGTTGTGTTCTCGAGCAAATGCGAGCCGTGCAACTCTGTGTGTTCTGGTCAATTCTGGTGCTCTAACGGGAAAAGCCATCAGTCCATATCGATTTAACCTTCTTCGAGTCGTGCGTTCAGAAATTTGGACCTTGAACTTTATTCAAATCGCTTGAGCAACAGTAAGGTGCTGGTTTCTCGATTTCCCAAAATTCTCGAAGTCAAAAAACGGTCATCCTGTGATTTTGTTACCCTAGGCTGTTACCCAGAAGTCTCGCAGTGTTTTGTAAGGAAGGTCAATGGCATATCACGACATGACACAAGGAGACAAGAAGTTAAAATAATAATAAAAATAAAAGGAGAAAATAATATAATTACAATAGGTACTCTTCTTACAAAACAAATGAGTTCTCGTGCAATTTATTAAATTAAAAAATGATATGACAAAATAAACTTCTTTCCTCGTTAAATTCTGAACGAACAGTTTTTGTTATCTTTGTTTGATCGCACACCTCTCTGAAAAAAGGGAGTCGTCCAGCCACCACACTCAACGAACCCGGTGCAGTCCTTGCAGGCCTTCGTCGAGTCCGCTTCCTCGGACTGGTAACTCTCCCTCGGGGTGGACAGGTGGATTGCCGTTGAGAATATTGGCTCTGTAACCGCATAAAACTCCAAAATAGAAACTGTAGGGCGATTCTCTCCTTTTGGCCGCTCGCCACGAAGTGGTCCTGTTCCGACAACGCTCTCCGGTCCATGGTGGGGGCTGGCCTTATCGTCATAAATACTCCCACAATTAAAAAAGAAAAAAAGAAAAACAGAAAATTCTTGCACTATTATACATATTGTTGAATCAAATGAAGATGTACATATTGAGTTATGTTCGAAAGGTTGAACTTGATCGTTCCTTATCTGCTATTTCTGTATTGTGTCATCTCGCAATAAAGGCGGCAATAAGGTGGCAACAAGCTTTAGTAGGGAAGTGAAAGATCATGAGGGGTTGATTTGAATCTATGTTACAAAGGTTGATAAAGAGAAGAGGAAGATAATTAATTTTGTTACTCTTTTTTATTGTTTTCATTATTTTTGTCTATTGTTTTTATTTTGCATTTTTTATTGTTATTCTTGTTATTATTTATTTATTTTTAATTCCTTTACACGCCTATGCCTTGTTTTCTGGCTTCAATTGCGTGATGTGAGCGTGGATCGTCGTTTCAGGATTATTTATGGAGTGTATCAAATAAGAGACTTTATTGAAAATTTTTATGACTTTGTAAGGACCAGAGAATTTTTCGCATAATGAAGCGTTTATGTTTTTGGATTTATTTGACAAAATGTATGTTTTTAGATAAACTACATCACCAATTTTTGGGATTGTTAACGTGTCCACCATTTTGTAACGCTTTAATCGTGTTTTATGTGCTTGTAGCAAGTTGTGATACGTAGTTTTTAAAAGTGTCTCCATTTCTTGTTGATTCAGGTGGGTCACGTTGTCCTCTATGTTTAGTTTTAGAGACAGTGGGTGTTGTAAGTCACGTCCTAAAAATATTAAGGATGGTGTGTTTTGCGTTGTATCGTTCCTTGCGGAATTTAATGCACTTATGTATATGAATAAATTTTCTTCCCAGTGTTTTTGAGAGTTACTGTGGTAAGCTCGGATAGACTTCTTGATGCCCGAGATATACCTTTCTGCCAGATTTGTTTGGGGATGGTGGGGTATGTTAGCAATATATGTGATGCCTAGATTAAAAAGAAAATTTTTATAGGTTAGTGCCCTAAAGCATGATTGCCTATCGGAAATAATGTATGTTGGCAAACCATGTTGCGAAAATATGCCTTTTAATGTTCTAATGACTATTTCGGTGGTGGTGTTTCTACATGGAATCGCGAACAAGAATTTGCTGAATGCATCCACAGCGACAAAAATAAATCTGTTTCCGGTGGTGGAGGTTGGTAAAGGACCCACGAAGTCTATGTATAATTTCTCCATGATTCGTATTGGAGGAGTGTTGTGTAAAATTTTATTGTATGGGTGCGTATTGGGTTTGACTCGCATGCAAACCTCGCATTTAGCTATTATCTGTTTAACATCGCGATGCATCTTCGGATAAGTAAATAAGTTCCTTATTCGTCCCAATGTTTTGGAAAGTCCCTGATGCGCACCGTAAGTGTTTAGATGGAAATATTGAAATAATGCCTCTTTAAAACAGTCCGGTACCAACAGTTTCTTAAGATTGTGGTCATCGTTTGGTATATAGTATGTTAGGCCCCGTATGATTTTGACGTTTGGGTCATTCTGGGTGATTTTTTTTGATAAGTAGTCATCATTTCTTTGTGATTGTTGGAAGTCATCAAACAGTGAAGGCAATTTACTTAATGGAGACGTGAAAAAGGTCGCATCTGTGTCTTCTCGCATACCTCCAACTTCTTGTTTTAATTCCACGTTCTTGGGTAAATCTGAAAAACGCGAGAGGTAGTCCGCCACGTTATTGTTCTTCCCTTTGACGTGTATCACGTCAAACGAATAAGAGTCTAACTCTGTAATCCATTTTACGGCCGGATTATTTAATATTCGTCCCCTGTCTTCTTGTAAAAAATGGACTAAACCACTGCAATCCGTGTAGAGGGTGAATGGCTTGTGAGATAAATATTGCCGGAAACGTCTGAAAGAGAGTATCACACCGTAAAGTTCTTTTTTGTATGTGGAATAGTTTTTTTCCGATCCCTGCAGCATTTTTGAAAAGAAGGCTATAGGACGCACGTTGTTTTCGTCATCTTTTTGGGATAAAAGGCTGCCGATAGCACAACTGGACGCATCCGTGTATAGCAGGAACCTTTTATTAAAATNGTGTATTTCATAAACGTATACCCTAAAAGAATAGGAATTGGCATGTTTTCTAGGATTTGAAATTTTGTATACCAGGATAAAGTGCTAAATTTGATTCGTATACCCACAAGTCCTATAATATTAACAGCAGTCCCGCCAATTGAAACGACCTGTTTTTTTTATTCATCCATTAAACTTTTAATTAATTTTTTTCCCACAAGCTCAAAGCATTTTTGGGAAATCGCATTGATTGAACTGCCCGAATCTATCAACGCTGGCAGTTCCTTTTGTCCCACTTTGACTTTTATGAAGGGCAGGTTAACAGACATAGGGGTCGTTTCATTTTTCGGTACTGCTTGGCTCACTAGTTTTTTGAGTTCTTACTTGTTAAGTTTGACTGTTGAGAACTGGTTGAGTTTGCCGTGTTCGAGGTGAAAAGTTGTTGAAGCTTTAATATTTGTTCAATGTTTTCATTAAGAGCGGCAAAGGTTTGCTTATCGTGTTGTTTAAATTGTTTGTTTTTATTTATTTGATAGTTAAGATTTCTCTTGCCATGGTGTCGTTTATTTGGGTTTCCAAAGTTGTGATCTTTGCCATCCCGAGAATAAATATTTTTATGACTCGCAGCCTTAAAATTTCGCCCATTCTTATTATGGTTCCATTCACGATTCGGAAAGTAATCATGTTATCGACGATAAGAATTAACATTATGATTTTTTTCGTCATGTCTATATCTATCACTGTGTGCAAAGAATTCTCTGTTACGATTTAGATGTCGGTTGAAATTCGGTATTTGACCGTGTTGGTTTGTGACCGCTGCTACATATGTTATTTTGTTAAAGTTTGGAACGTGAGCATATCCGTATCTCTCATTCAGGTTAATCTCTATGTCCTTTATCGCTTCGTAAAGTTGTTGGTAATTTTGCAGGACATCTGGATTCCGGATATAGGGCAAGTATTTCGGGTGAATTGAATTTACCAAATTGCAAATTTTGCTGCCCTCATCATTCTCACCAAACAGTTTAAAAATTTGATCTGCGCATCCACATATTCTCGTAAGGAAGTGTTTTCATCTTGGGGGCAAAACAAATATTTGGTTTTAGTTTGCAAATACTGCCTCGCCGAAATACCATGCTTCAACAAGGACGTCGAGAACGTCTCAAAATTTATTTTGGGGTAGGACAGTGCATTGTACAAAAAATTCTCTGTCGACGCATCCTGTTCACGATCCGCCAGCACCGAAAGTATACTTTTGAATCTGTTGTTATTTCTGTGCGCGATGGGAC